AATAAAAGAGATAAAGAAATAAAGTAAAAGCAAAGGTATAACCAAATATAGTAAATAGAAAATAATTACGTAAAACAGTTACCGATAAATTTGACGCCGAATGGAAAAAAGAAACTCAAAAAATTGCGATGGGAAAGAATCCATCTTTATTAAAAGCTCTATGCAGGGTTTTGTGGACTAGATATTGCTTGGCTGGTGTTTGTAGATTTTTTAGTGATACATTATTGGTTACTTCACCTTTGATATTAAAGGTATATTTTCACGCTTGTATTTCCAAGTGATTAGTTATGACACGTCCCGACATGATAAAATTCTCTTAATATTCCTGATATTTTAGTTAATATTAAACTTTGTCTCTGACGCATACTTTGCCAACTTTTCTAACGGTGTGCAACCCCATGCACATGTTGGCTACCTATTAATCATTGCCTTGTTTTTAATGCAATTGTGTGGTAACCTTTTATTAAACTTTTATTTTTATTGTGGAGCGGAAACCGGTTTTCTCTCTCGCACTATTCTCATAACTGCTATCTATCGGAAAGCTTTAGTCTTAAGTGGAAAAGCAAGAAGCTTATTTACCAATGGAAAAATCACTAATCTAATGTCTACTGATACTTCGCGTATAGACTTTGCATGCTGTTATTTTCATCTAATTTGGGCTATTCCTGTTCAATGTTGTATTGCATTAGGTTTGTTAATATTTAATATTGGTCCATCTGCATTAGCTGGTTTTGCTTTATTAGCATTAGTGAGTCCCATGCAAGGAATAGTTATGTCATTGTTAGTACGTATCAGGGCTAAAGTTGCTGGTGTTACTGATGAACGGGTAAAGTTAACTCGGGAGATTTTGTTAGGGATTAGAGTTATTAAATATTATGCTTGGGAAGATAGTTTTATTGATGCTCTTAACAAATTAAGAAACAAAGAGATTAGTTTGGTTAGATTTCTATTAGTTATTAAAAATACTATTAATGGTGTTTCAACGGTAATTGTTTTACGTAATTATTTTCTATTTACTATATTTGGTTATACCTTTGCTTTTACTTTATTTCTTTATCTCTTTTATT